GCAGCCCGGGCGGCCTGCCGGCCGAGCACCGCCGCTCGGTGGGCCCTTCGTGCGGCGTCACGCCAGCATCCCACCCACAGTCGGGCCGCTGAGTAAGGAACGCTTGCTTTCCAAAAGTGGATCTGTCGTTCCTCAGGTTGGCATGCGTTCCGCTCTTTTTTTGGCTGGCGAGCCCCCCCTGGTGCTCCTTCGGACTTCATGGGCTTTTGTGGGAAGAAAGGGGCCTCTTCCATGTTTAATTGTTCTATAGGCCAGCGGCCCGACTGTAATACTATGTGTGCTTCGTCCCCCCCAGGGGCGACGCGCGCGCCGAGAAATCGTGTGGTATATGCAAGTAGTGTTACAAGATGGTTATACTAGATGCGCGGGTCGGACGCACGCCTCCAAGGAGGACACATAATAATTACTCAAATGTCCTTGTGCGTTTGTGCGTCCCATTCGTCGACGGCAGGGTGTCCTCTGGGGTTCGGCGCCGCGGCGGGGACGTCGTCGTCGTCGTCGTCGTCGTCGCGGGGACAACGGGGCCAGGATGGACGGGCCCTGGGAGCCCCCTACTCCTCCCCCTCCTCCCTATCCTCCTCCTCCTCATCTTCCCTATCCTCGTCTTCCTCCTTCTCCCCCTCCTCCCTATCCTCGTCCTCCTCCTCCTGCTCCTTATCATCGTCCTCCTCCTCCTTCTCCTCCTCCTCCTCTCCTCATTCTCCCTATCCCACTCCTTCTCTGCCCTATCCTCCGTCTCTTCCTCCTCGTCCTCCTCCTCCTCTTCCTCCCTATTCTCGTCCTCCGCCTCCCTATCCTCGTCCTCCGTAGCCATTTTGGCTCAAGGTTTTGGTTCCCTCGGGGTCAGAAACGGAGACCTCTGATCCGAGGACAGCTTTCAGCAAGTGCGGCCTGTTCGCCCAGGTCAGGACCGCCCGACACCCAGGTCGGGCCGCTTTTGCGAGCTCCAGCAGGAGCCCCTCTCGAGCGAGACGGCGCCACCATGCCGAGGCGCCAGACGTACACGGTCTGCAGCGGCTGCAGCAACTGGGTGTACGACTGGAAGCTGCAGCGTACGGGAGGCTGGTGCAACAAGTGCAACGACTACCTCAGCGGGTGGAGCGAGCAGCCGTCGTCTGCGGGCCGCAGCCAGCGAGGGGCTGGCAAACCCCCGTGGGCAAAGCAGCCCGTCACGTCGCCCGCGGACGAGGTGCAACACATTATTAACAAGTTCCAGCTGGGGGAGGGCGCCTACGCCACAGCCAAGGCCACGGTCGACCTTGGCCCGCTGCAGGCGCTCCAGGCTCAGCTCACTGCCAAGGCGCCGACGCCCGCGGAGATCCCGAAGGCTAAGGCGCTCAGGCAGGCGATCAGCAACATGGACCAGAAGAAGGTGGCGCTGGCGAAGGCGACGAGCCAACTCGTGGAGGCGGAGCGCTGGCTCGGCGTCGCCACGGAGAGGCACAACAAGGCGCTGGAGGAGGCAGCGGACGCGGAGGAGGAGCACGAGGCCACCCTACGGGCGTACTCCAGCGAGGCCATCCCCTCGCTGGACGAAGCTACGGCTACGGAGTGGAAGGCGCCCGAGGTGGACCCCACGCTCTTCGACAACCTGGACGACTACGAGCCTGAGGATAAGAACAAGCTACTCAAGTTCAGGTCGGATCTGTCGTCCCTCGCGCAGCTGCTGGAGAGCGCCCAGAAGCAGTACACGGAGTTCACGGAGCTTAAGAAGCAGGCGGACGCCATCCATGCTTCCCACAAGGCGAAGAAGCGGAAGGCGAACACAGGCGAAGAGACACCAGCAGCGGCACCTCCACCAGCAGCCGATGGCGGCTCCAGTGCAACCGCTGGCTCTGCGGCGGTCAAGCAACCGTCAGAGGAAGAGGTGCAGCAGCGCAAGGACAGACTGGAGAGGCTCCGCAACGACGCGAAGGTCAAGGCGAACCCGAAGCAGGAGCCTGCTCAAGCTGAAGGCGCTGCTGCTGCTGGTGGCCAGCGCCTTTAGCAAGGTGTTCTTCTCGAACATCACGCAATGGGGCCCCAAGGCCCACAAGTTCATCAACGAGCAGGGCAACGACATGGACATCATCATGATGTGCGAGACGCATCTGGCGCAGGATCAGATGAAGCAGGTGAAGGTGGACGTGGCTAAGGACGGCTGGAAGTCGGCGGGCACAGCGGCGGTGCCCACGAAGCGCTCGGCGGACGGGACCTCGGGCGGTGAGCTTATCCTGGTCAAGTCCCACATCGCCTGCTCCACCTACGACACCATCAGAGAAAGGCTGCAGAACGACGGGAAGAAGGACCCCTTCTACGGCTTCACGGCGGTGAATCTCCACACCAAGGCGGGCAACGTGGTCTTGGTCTCAGCATACTGGCTACCAGGAGCTGGTCTTCACGGACCCAACCGAGAGAGGGTCCGAGCGCTGGCAGGATTCGTGAAGGCTCTGGCGGACCCGTGGGTGGTCCTGGCGGACTGGAACGTCACCTTCGCGGACATCGCCAAGACGGGCTACGTGCAGCAGATCGGCGGAGCGCTGGTCAAGCCAGACGTGGAGGTCACCTGCGACAAGGGGAAGGGCAGCCTGATCGACTACGGCATCGCTAGGAAGGACTTCGCGCACAAGGTCAAGCTGGAGGCAGTCCGCACGGTACCTTGGCGAACACATTGCGGACTGACGCTCACGCTGGAAGGTTCGGCGACGTCGCGGTGGCATCGCAAGATGCAGTTACCGAAGGAGCTGGCGACACCGTCGCGACCGAAGAAGAAGGCGGATCCGAACAGCAAAAGGACCCGCAAACGACAGGAAGAACGGCAGCGGGCAGAGGAGCGACTTGAGCCACACCTTCGGGAAGCATTTCAGGAGCAGGCCACGATCGAGGAAGCGGAGTCTGAGAAGAAGCCTAAGGACTTCTACATCACAGATGAGTCTTGGACGGCGGCGGTGGCGACGGCGAGCTTATCAGGTTCGAGCTCACCACCTTCGGCGTCCCAGATGTTTCTCTTCGGGGGCAGCCAGGGCCGCACCGCACCTCCAGCCTCCAGCGCGTGGCCGCTCTTCGGGAGCGTTGAGCCGCCTGAGGTTGTCGGCCCTCCTACCATGGAGGATAATGGGGTGCTGGCGTTCCCTGCTGCTTGGCCCGCCGCATCTCAGAGGACTTCAAGCGGTATGGCCGCGGCCTCCCACGGGGAGAGCAGCGGCGCCAGATCGAGCACGGCGACTACGTTTCGCAGACTACGAGGACGCCGAGGTGCAGCACGCAGAGCTGAGAGGTGGTGCCTGTCGCAGGAGCTCCAGTCTTGGGACGACAAGCTCATCATCCGCGACACCAGGCATCGCGATGCAGAGGCAGCAGCGACGAGGATGTACGGCGACTGGGTCACATGTCTGGAGGAGGCGGCGATCGTGACGGATGAGATCGACGAGGAGGAGGCTGAGTACTACCGAGGACGGGCTTCGGGCTTCGAGGTCAAGTGGGTCAAGGCGCGTTCGACACCAGGTCGCACCCACATGAAGTTCGGGCCAGCGGAGCAGTGGGGCATCCTCAACGCCATCCTCATTAGGTACCAGGCGCTGTACACCAACGGCACCGACGGCAGGCAGCAGGCAAAGTGCTTGGCGGAGGCAAAGGCGCAGGGCAAGGTGTTGCAGCAGATGGACCAGAACCAGGTCTTCGGCAGGAAGCTCGGCACCACACAGCAGCAGATGTTCTACGATATACTGGGCGACTTGTCGGACTTGGATGAGGGGCAGCTCGGCAACTTAGTCATGCAGGCAGAGGGCCACCTCGCCACTGCGCAGGCGCGAGGCTTCACGGCGCAGCAGAAGAACTTCACGGCGTGGGCAAAGAAGGCATGGGCAGGCAAAGTCGGCCTCCTCCATCGGCATGTGAAGGAGCAGCAGGCGCCGAGGTTCGAGCTGCGCACGGAGGAGATGGAGGGCATTGCGGACCCAGACGCCCTCATTGGCATCAGGAAGCACGAGTGGGAGCGCATATGGACGGACCCAGTGGACACGAAGGAGGACATCGCGTACCAGCTGGGCAGGCTGCGCGATCAGTCCTGGGAGCACGCGCTGGAGCCCCTCACGCTGGAGCAGCTCGACGGGGCCATTTCTGTGTCGTCGTCGGCCAAAGCAAAAGGAGTTGATCATCTTGGTCCGCACGATCTGGCTCGGGCCCCCAGGCAGGCAAGAATATGGTTAGTTCACATCTTACAGTATTGCGAGCAGGAGGTCACATGGCCGAGGCAATGGGCAGCCACCAAGTGCGCGCTGGCGGCCAAGCCCAAAGGAGGAGATCGAGTACTCGGTATGCTGGCCCTTCCCATCAAGCTCTGGTCAAGGGCTCGGGGAGGTTGCTGCTCAGAATGGAGTGATGCGTTATCGGCCCATTGGGACACAGCCCTCAAAGGCAGCTCAGCCCTCCGTGCGGGGCTCCTCAGGGCGTGCCTGGACGAAGTGGGGGCAGAGCTCGGGGCATCGGCGATGACGCTACTGTTGGACATCGAGAAGTTCTACGACACAGTCTCGCTCGTCATCCTGTCCCAGATCGCCCTCAGAGTGGGCTTCCCCGCAGTGGTGGTGGCGTTAGAGATCGCCGCGTTCGTGGGCCCCAGGTACCTGCAGGAGCGCAACATTCTCAGCGAGGCGATCTGGCCCACGAGGTCTTTGGTAGCCGGCTCTGCCAGAGGCGTGGGATTGGCGAAGCTGTTCTTGCACCCGATATTAGATAGGGCGCATCGGAGGGCGCCGCAAGCTTCGCTGTGGACATTCGTGGACGACACGGTGGCGAGGCAAGAAGGTAGCAGGCAAACAGTCGGCGATGGCATCATCCAGGTCACGGAGATCATCACGGACGGCCTCAAGGAGCAGAGGATGAAGATCTCCAGCAAGTCGGTCCTGATAGGCACCCACCCGAAGGACGTGAAGCGGACGGCTAAGACCATGAGGAAGAGGCAGATCCCCGTCTACGCAGTCACGGAGGCAGTGGACCTAGGCCTGGACTCGTCGGCAGGG